TCATATTTGTGACATCGTTCGTGAATCTCTGAAATATAGGAATCAACTTTCAACTCTAAAATTTGAAGTTGCGTAGTAATTACTACTTTTATTAAATAAGCACCTTGCCTAGCCTTGTGTTTGCGATCATTCCGAATTACAAGGACATTGTATCAATGCAAATTTTAAAAATAATAATAAAATAAAATGGAACAATCCAATGATATAAAAAGATGGTTAAGTTTGTCTGCTCAATTCATCGATCCAAATCATAACTAAGCAGGTGACCTTATATTACCATCACCGCGAAAAAAAAAAAAAAGAGTTTGTCTCCGAGCATTTACAGCAAAATCGAGCATATTTCCACGTTTTGAAAGAGAAAAAAATATATAAATAGTCCCATAAGATTAATAAAAATACAGCCCTCACTCAGTGTCTGCGATCGTTTAGAATTACAAGACGCTTGTGTAAATGCAAAATGGAAATAATAATGGTAATAATAATAATAATAATAATCTCAATGACGTAAAAAATAATCAAAAAATCATCGAATTAAATCATATTTCCATTATTGCAGAAGAATTCACATTGTCTCCGAGCCTTTATGGCAAACTCAGGCATATTCAAAAAAGTATTGCTCATCCCTGACTGTAAATAACACGAGTCAGTAAATCATACGTAGTGTAATAAATATTGGGCGACATTGTTGTTTATGTTAAGAATAGCTTGATTGAGAAATCTCGCGAGTTTTTTTAGAATGTGAACACGTTTAGCAGTGAGAAAAGATTACAAAGCCAAATCCTCAAACTTGACACATATTTGCTACTGAAATTAAAAACACCTGCTGGTTTAACCAATTAACGTCCTTTTGATGGTCAACTGAAGTTTTCATAAAGACTTTTCTAGAAAATATGGTGTAATCAATTAGAAGAAGCAATTAGCTGAAGTCAATCTAACTACCAATCCCTCCCTAATTATCACAATATTCACGATTAGATCTCAAGTTAAAGATCTTATCGAGTCTCAAATTTTTAGCAACTTTTAGATTAACTTTGTTTAAAAATCATTTAAAATTGAAAATTCTAACATCTAGAACAAAAAAAAAAAAAACTGTACTTTTCTGAATTGAAAAGATGTTGCTTCCTTACAATTATTCAATTTGTCATTTAATATGTACGAAGTGACACCAGCAAAGCTGGGCAAAAAAAAAATGATTTTTTTACTTAAATGAAACAAACAGTTTCTGAATTATTTATGACTGTACAACCTCATACCGTTAAATATATTTTAACATATTATCTCTGACTAAAACTACTGTCTATGGCGTTCTGTCGAGAACCTCGAGTCCAAAACTTCAAAAGATGTGGAAATGATTAACTTCTTGGAACAGTAACATGAAGCGAGCCATCTCCAAGAAAGGCCAAATGTATGAATAAGGTGAGTTTTTATTAATCAATATGATGCCTCGCAAATGACAACAAGCCTGAGATAATTTTACCATTTTTTGAAACGTCGAATTGCGAATTAAATATTGCCATCTAATTTCGAGGAAACAGTGATTGTTTTGGAAGAACAATGTTTCCTAGTAATCCTGAGTTTTAATATATCTACCTTAATTAAAACAGCGTTTCTAAAAAAGACAGCCACAACCTTTTACCACTAAAGGTCCGGGCTTACTGCAGTCTCCATCCATTACCTAACATCATTTCAAGCTAGTATCTTATTGCGCGAAGTTTCTTTCCGCCGTATTTTCCAAGTTATTCCACTATATTTGGGATCGTTAGTTTTGCTCTGGCTTGCGAGTGACGGACCAATTATTAGAATCATCTATGACCGAAAATTTATTCTTCTTTCTCTTTTTTGCTTTTCATACCTTTGTTTTAAGATCAGAAATGAATCTCTCTTTTATGGTCGCTATATCTTTTAGGGCATACTATTTTAAGATTAATTAAACTGCGGTTGGTTTTCAAGTTAAGTAATCGGGCATATATGGGAAATATGGTATAGTTTCATTAAGACCAATTTTTTAACCTTACTAGCAAGCCAAAAATATTTTCATGTAGGGAGACCCACTGAAACATTTTCAAGGAAAAATAGGGAAAATCTATAAGTTCATAAGCTGTCAAAACCATCTGTAATGGTTTTTCCGCCGCATGAATTTGGGGAAAAAATGTATATACAATATTCTCTCTTGATAAATTTTGTGCTCAGTTCTTCTCTTAAAAATTTACAAGCATGAAGACTAACGGCTGCGAGCATGAATAGGGCACCATTTTTATCACTTCAACATGTCGTTCGAGCAGCCAATATAGAGCGTTTTAACTAAAAGCAACTGGCAGCTGTGTTTTTTTATTGGCACGAGATTGACTTGGTACTGATGCCGATATGGTTTCTGATTCGTGGTTTTCGTTACAAAAAAACTAATTTGTCTAACTTGACAGCACTCGAAAACGCTTCATAGCCCACGCTGTTACAGATCAGAATTGTTAACTTTTAAGATAGAAACATGAAAGTTTGTCAAACTACTACCAACCCTAAGACTAACATTTTTGGATATGGATCCAACCCTAATTCACCACTGGACACGAGTACTGCGCAAGCCCTAAAATGGCCCACGTGAAAACAGCAATAATTTTCCTTATTCAATGCACATATGTGAACGGCCAAATGTAGCAGGTTTGGTAGACAATCAAGCTACCGCTATATATCCCCAAGGAAGCGAACTTAAAAAAAATTGTCTCACATACAATTCGTATGAAAGCATGTCTAAATAAAATTTCCCAGTGTTTATTTTCTCTTCGTTTTCACCACATAATTACAGCGAGGCAAACAAGTGGCGGATTCAGTTTGCAGTTAAAATGGCGTTTAAACGTTCGATTAATAGAGCTTTTTCACACACGTGGCCAGCAGCTATGCAAATTTGTTTGAACAAAACACAGTTTTACCTTACAAAAAGGATCAACTCCCACAGGACTGGTTTGAGGCACCGAAATGGCAGCTGTTTCATGGTCTTGGGACAACAATATGCGTGACGTCGTGCGAAAACGCTTTACTTTTATTTGACAAGCTCTTTGCATGTTCAAACAATAACAGCGTCAATAATGCTAAATGTGCCATGAAAGGAGTACTTTAGAAAACTTTAACTCGGTTTCGAGCAGGACAAGGTCATAAAGGCCAGAATGTTGCAAGCTATAGTTTACTTAAAAAGTAATTGCGGCTAGCACGCAATAAAAGGAAAGAGAGATCGTAGTCTACAGGTATATGGTAAAAAAAATTTCAGTCACCATCTCGGTGTCTTTTGAATGAGACAGCGAATTCTTAATGTTCTTTTAGTACAAATGTTTATCTCTACTTTGAGCAGAAAAACGTTTTTTCCTACGGTTGGCTAATGCCTTGAATTTAATTTAGACGCGGTGAATGCATATTCAAGAGAAACTTATTTTTCAAATGACATGCGATTATTATGTTTGCTTGCATGCAGTAATATGTCAATATCGAAATCTAAATATACAAGAAAACGTTAAATTGCGCTATTTTATGTCTTATATAAACCCAGAACAGGTTGAATTTGCAATCGCTCATTTAGGGAACCTAAAAGCTCGATTCAATGTCTTCATATCATCCCCAAAGCTTTATATGAAAAATCGTTTACTGATTTTCCAGCATGATTCCCCTCCTATCATAATCTCACATGGCTTGCTGAAGTTGTAACCTCTTACATAGAATTCACTTATACACACGAGCTGTATTTCTAGAATGGAATCTTATTCGTAATAAAACTAGCTTTTGATAAGCCAAAGTTTCAAGGACCTGCTTAGAGAACGTGAGAATTTAGTGTTAAGATCTTTTCCATTTTGCTGCCAAATAATAACACTTTATTTATTTATTTATTTTATTTTATTTTATTTGCCACACAATAATTACGAAAACTAAAGGAAAAGAGAGAAAAAAACAAGTGGCGAGGAGACCTAACAGAAACTATGGAGCTTATGACTCGAGGTTAGGCCTCCTCGATCTAGAATTAGAGAGTTATGTAACGTAGTTTTTGTTGCACTATTCAGAAATAGATGATTAAAGAGGTAAAGAGATCATGTGACCATACGCGAACTAGGGCTTCGGAAACTTTAAAACATTTCTTTGCCAAAAAATTTCGTTCTTAATTGCTCAAATTGTCTGTTTGTCATACCCCCAAAGAAAGAACTTCTATAGTGAATATTTTAGACTCTAGTTGTCAAGGCGCTATAAAAAGATAATTGATTTCCTCCAAAACACCGATAATTTTCCTCGCATATTCTCTATCAAAGTACAATATATTAACAGCTATGTAAACATTATCATATTTTGCCGTCTGTTAATTTGCGAACGTTTAAAAGGGCATGTTTCATTTATGCTTGTTCCGGTTGTTTTGTGCCTTGTTGTGAGATGTATTTAAATTTTTGCTCGTAATCGTAATACAGTATTGCCTCTTCAATTTTCCTGCATGACTTTCATAACTTAGCAACTACGGTAATTGAAAATACGTAGTGTTAGTAGTGTCAACCAGCAGAGACGACAGCAAAAAGGCCAGGTAATTAGAGGCAGAAACTTATTACTAATAGAAGTCGTAATTCATGTATAGCGTAAAGAAAACTGTCTACCTCGCCCTGAGCGGATTTTTCACTTCCAGACTCAATCTCAAAGTCTTTAGACGCTGTACCATTACATGCAGACTACTTACAATTACACATTACAACTTGTTTTTCCATATTTTGCGATGCAAATTTGTAAATTTCTTGTAGTTTTATTAGCATTTGGCAATCATACAGAGTGAAAGAGTTAAGGAGGTTTTCAAGTACTATAATTAATCAACCAACAACACATGTCGCTAGCATAGCCGAGCAATTAGTCGCGTCTGTTTTTTTCAAAGCTTATAATAATTTCAATTACACTTGACTTTTTTCAAGATATCTCAGACATTTCGTCGCCGCTTGTTCTACTTTCAGAACAGACAACAGGCTCGCGGACATCATTTTAAACTGGAAATGGGAGGGCACGTCTTGGTTCTTGGAAAGGTTCCCAGGTTGTTAGCCGCTACGCTTTTCTTGTACTTTTCTACTATTACTCCTTTCATTCAAGTGGTTGCAAATAAGCGGGGAAAGACATTAACAATAGGAGGCTTTTATGCATCTGGTGAAAGGACAACTTTTCAGAATGCTTCAGGTATCCTTAAAACAGTGGAGCAAGCTCTTAGATTCATCAATGAACGATCACAAATTCTACCTGGTTACAAGCTTGACATCAAATGGCGGGATACCAAGGTAGGCTGTGCTTTGTGATTTTTAAAACATGCGACAGATAGAGTATGTGTATGAAATGTTTGTTTTTGGCCATGACGATATTGAAATTTTACCATTCAAGCCAGCTGGCTTCATTTGAATATTGAAAGCGAACTCTTGACTTCAATACTTGATCCGGATTCTAAATACTAAAAGTTGAAGCTACCCTATGTAGCAATATAAACAGTACCATAGGGCAACGCTAACTTAGAATCCAATTCAAATATGAATAGTAATTGAACTGAGTCATTAATCTAAACTAAGATGACTACCATCCATCTGCCCATTTAAAACTTCAGGTCTTTTCTTTTACTTTCCATTTTATAAACAGCTGGCAAAAAACGAAAATCTTTTTTTAGTCCTTCTTACGTGGGTCATGCTTTTTTTTACTTCCCATCGATGTTTTATCTCGAGTTAGCAGATTTTCTATTATCTCCTCAACCTTTTTCATCTGTTCTTATTTCCTAACTGAAAGTCTAGTGATCCGAAAATTATAGGGATCAAAACTGACTTTTCGAAAATTTCAGCCAGAAAAAAAGGTCCCCGAAAATTCTAGGTGACCTTTTAGGGTAAAAAATCCGTTAAAAATGGGCAATTATACCATTTTTTAGATGTTTGAAAATCCTAGGAGAGGAAGGCAAACAAGAAAGTTTACAACAAAAATTCTGAAAATTCAAGATCTCAAATCGTCTTCCGAACAGATATTTTCCAAAAACTGACGTTGGGTGCCCCTGAGTTGAGTTCTCTTGTTTCCATGAATTATAACGGGGAAAAAATTTTACATTTTCATTTCTAAATACGGCTACAAAATGGAACGTAAGGTACTCGGTATTGTAAAGTTCTTCGCTTACTAGCTTTGAAGCAAAATATCTTTATCCCAGGCATTTTTTCCAAGTCAAACTTCAACAAAATAGACGTGCACCAAGTTTGATACTTGACGAATGAAACGTGCAGATATTTGACTAGCTGGAAGAAAAATGAGTGCATTATCTATAAAACAATCAAACTCGGAACTCAGTATTTGACCGGTTAATCATGCCATTTTTCAGGAACCTATCAGTCTTCGGCCCAATGGTATCCATATTCACTTCTTCACACCCTAGAGCGCCCACTCAATCTCACGCTCATGTCTTACTTAAGTTTATTATGGGCAGGGTAAAACCGTTAGTGTAGTTGGGCGTTGTTCTGTTCTAATATGGTAGAATGACGTCAGTCTAATAGCGGTAATGGACTTTTATCACTAATATATGAGCACCTGTCATACACAGTCAATATATGCCCGCAACTGGGCTGATTGGGAATGCTATGGCCAATCAGAGGGGGCAGGGAAAGCGTAACTGGGCTAATCCGCACTCGAACGAGACACTTGCAACTGCTGCCAAGCGCGGGAATTTAAACAAATGCGACCAAGCCGCAGATGCAGTGGAGTCAATAGGGCGGGGATGATTTACATGAATATCATGAAGGAAAAGTATTACCACCACTATTCTAGAATAAAGTTTATGGCGCCTAACAATGGTCTTATTTTACGCGACGGCTTATTTTAATACTTTTTATTTTTTTTAGTGCCAAATGGGACCGGGTGTCCAGGCGTTATTTCAGCATATTAACGAGCCACCGACAAAAATCATGCTTCTTGGAGGAATATGCAGTACAGCTACCTTGCCTATCGCCGAGTGCTCACATCTTATGAATCTAATACAGGTATAGTACATTGAAAGAAACAGAGAGGGTAGCGTGCAGCACGCGCGTGATCAGCGAATTCGGACTCGAGTCAGCAGGCCGTCCAGCAGGTTAGAGTCTCTTTCTGACAACTAGCTGGAAACAGAGCTCAAATGCTTTTAAATAACTTATTGATTGCCTCCCGCCAGTAGAGGATTTTTTATCGTGTTTTGTTATATAATGATATTTGTATTATTTGTTTCGAATTGTTTGAGCAGCTAGGTGCACTAATCCACAAAGTTTTCATCCATCTACCATCCTAGTCAAGAGATTCTAAATTTGGGCAAGGAATCTTTCGACCTTTCCGCACAGGCGTCAGCTGGAACACCTACTGTCAGCGGACTTCAAGTCAATTTGGTCACATGACTACAAGTGGTTGACAATAACGGGTAGTTGGTATCTTAATCTCCTTTAAAGGAAGTTATGCTCTAAATATCCAGATCTGAGAGCAATAGTTAGGTTTGTTTCTTTCGACCCTTGAGACTACGCCACAGACGGAACTTAACTTCGGGTTAAGTCCGTCTGCGAAACAGAGCCGAAATCCTTGTCCTTCCCCCCCCTTCAGGTAAATTAAGGCATGGGTCCCCAATGATTCAGTCAAAAAGTGATGGGGAGTGGTCTATCTCTGAGCACTTAAGCAGTAGGAAGATGAGACTTCGCCAGATACATACATGTGTGGTTTCTGTCAATTAAACGATTTTCAATTATGCAAATGTTGTCACGTGACTCCACACGGCCAGAAAACAATAAAAAGTCTTTAAACAAAAACGGCAACACTTTTTGTTGTGAGTTCTTAAACCGGACTGGTTTAGGACAATGTGTAATGCAAGCATCTTCAAAACTGTGCTTGGCCTTTTTTGAACTTTTTACTGTTTTCAAAAATAAACGGCTTTTTTAACTAGACCCAGTCCCCCAAAACAATTGTATCCCATCTTAACGCCTTCGATTTTAAACATCTAAAAAAGGCCAAGGACAGAAGTGATATATTAAAAGGCCTTAACATTATGCAACCGATCAAATAATTGAGGACACACGAAAAAAAGTTGCCGTTTCAAGAACAGGCTTTTTCAGCCGATGGAGGTCACGTGACCTAATTTGCATAAATTCAAAGCACGAAATTGACACAAACTAAAAAAGTGGCCAGCTGGCAAAGTTTTATGTCTTTTCATCTAGAGCTCTTAGATACAAACCACCCACTCATTTTTGAAAAGAGCAAATTAAGGCAAATTGAGGCCCATGCCTTAATTTACCTGAATAGCCATACACAGCCATACCCCCCCTACTCCCCCGGGTTTGAGTACGCGCCATGATTGGACTTTACAAAATGCCATTGTCATATTTCCCAATCAGGTTGAAGGGAAACTCGAAATACATTTGTGGTAATTCATTGAGCCCGTTGGTGGTTCAGAACAAGGATTTCAGTGCTGCGTTGCAGACGTCACTAACGGGGCCTCGCAGATTACGTCTGCGAGGCAGGCTATTGAGACTCGAGGGAAATCAAAATGCACAGAAAATATTCTCGGCTATGTTGATTCTGTGACAAAAGAAAACCTTTGTTATAAAGAAAAAAATTTTGGATATCAGCACTTTGGAATTGCTTTGCGGACCTCAACCTTGACGGTCCCAGTCCATAAAATTCACTTCTGGTCAATAACGCATGATATATTAGACCTAGGTGTACGCGATTATCCACTGACAAAGACTGTCTTGTTCATTCGTATTCCCAGGTTAGCTATGGCGCGGCCTCGGCCTATCTCTCAGACAAAGAAAAATACCCTCTGTTCTTCAGGACAATTCCGCCTGATAAAGCGCAAAACCTAGGTCGCCTTGCCATCCTGAAACATTTCAATTGGAAAAAGGTTGCTATTATAACGGAATCTGAGTCTTATTACCAAGCTGTGAGTATTCCCTGTAAAAAACTGAAGTCATTTTTATTTAGTTTTCCATTTCTACATTTTGTCCTCCGGCAAATGCTCAGTGTCAGCTTAGTTTTCCAAACCAACCAGAAAGAAAGCCAAAACCACATCAAATATACCTTAAGGAAGGTGAAATGCTTTCATCCCGACCAGGTCATAACAAAAAGTGCCCACATTCATAACAGTGGAATAACTGAAGTGACTACCCACAAAAAAATATCAAGATTTGCTAGCAACCTTTGGATAGAGAGGTCCACACAACACGTACACGTACACATGTATTGTCTGTTTGTTTGTTTGTTTGTTTGTTTTTTTCAAGATTTATTAATATTGTTATTGTTATTATTCAAAGTCGGGCCTAGCACGTGCTTGGCTAGAGCCTTTTCCACCATTCCACCACCTCCCACCCCTTCTCTTATTGAAGGAAACAAATAAAGATCAAACAGAAATTACGTTTTAAATTTGTATCGTGTGTATCGTGATGACGTTTCTTTAAAGGCTTACGATAGTCTCAAGACATTACTGGCGGAAAATAACTTGTCAATCATCGTCCACGAATCCCTTGGTGAGGGAGAAGAAAGCCATCAATCGTCCATTAAAGTATTGAAGGTAATCAAATAATAATTGGTAAATTGCAGTTGTAACGACCAAGTTAAAATAGAGCGAGCACTAGGAGTTCGCTATGGTGAAATCATATTTAAGAACAGGATAATTGATAAAAAAAAATACGAATCCAAGAGTTCGAATATGGAAGCAACTTATGACTGAAGGTAGGTAAAACAGGCAACGAAAACTGAAACTGGCTCCGCAACATTGCTGCAAAACGAACGAACTGAACAGCGATGTTGCGCTTTTTACCACGCACTTCTCAGGTTGCGCAGAGTTGTTGCATAACTGAGTAGAGAGTAGTTCTACTTTTTGCAACCAAATCTGTACATGTTGCGCGTTTTACCGGCCCAAGGCAAACTTGTCTTGCAGCAAATGACGTAAATCTTGTGTATGGCTTGACTCCCGCGTAATGTTATCCAATCAGAAGTCAGTATTCACGCAACTTGCAACAATCTCACTTGTTGCAAGACATGATTGAACGGGGGTTAGTGGCAAAACGCGAAAAATAGTCCAGTTTCGAATTAAAAATCACCGCTGAATACAAACATTAACGACTCATTCGATACAGGGTTAGCTTCGACGTAAACTAAAATATTCAGAAATTCTGGCAAGTAAGTGTTTGAAATTTGAATATACACAATAGACAGAGTAATAAGCAGGTCTTTTTCTCGTTGGAATTTGTTTATATATTACTTCAGATGGAGGCTAAGGCTGTAAAAAATGCGTCCTCACTTCTTTAATTCAGCGGTCACAGCGAACTCGAAAATGGGCTATTGTTTTTCATGCAGTTAGTTTTGCAGCAATGTTGCAAAAGAAGTTGCACGATTTTGTCGCCCTTTTTACCTTAGCATTAGTTTGCGAGACATTCTTCTTTCAACAACCAACAATAACAACGCACAATAGACATTGTGATACATGTGGGATTTCCCCAAGCATTTTGACATTCACTGCGTTGAAATTTAAGGGAGCTGTGTCACGAAATTCAGCAAATTAGGTTATTGCAAAATGCCCGTTTAAATTAAAAGAAACGTAAAAATAACCACTTAAAACATTAAAGGAAGGTTAAAATAACACAACAGATACAACAGCTGCCACGGATGGGCAAAACTGAAGACTGAAACGGATTGAAATTAGGGTTTCATGAAAACTCTTCAGCCTAACAGTTTTTCAAAGTTTATCTCTGCTGTTTGCAGCTTCAAAAATAATGCTCAGGGGACATATTTTTTGCTTGTCTCTAATCTCTGATTTTGTCATTTACATGTAATTTCTTTGCCTACTTTAAGTTCCATAGCGATTGAGGGCGAGTAATTGGTAAAATAAAACAAAATGAACTGGACTGCCGTGACACAGCCCCTTTGAGCACGGTCCGTAGTAGTTTCCTTGATCAAACGCCATTACTTTATGTTAATGCACACTGAGCGCAGGATTACGTCACAAAGGGTCTGAAATGACGTCATTTGCACGTTTGCGTCACTTGAATTTGAAACTGCCAGGTTTTGTTTCCTCGTGAAGATTGTTTTTTAATCCTCACTGGAACGGAATGGATTGTGGTAACTGTACCAAAATGATGTCGTAGTGGAAATGTCCTCTTGCAATGGAAGGTGAGTGACACACCTTAAATCTTAATTTGTTTCCTTCTCGCTTTATTTTGGATGTTACAGGAAAGAGATGCACGGGTGATAATTGGACTTTTCTCTGAAGAAAAAGCCATTGAGTTATTTTGCCAGGTAATAAATCGACTCAAACTGTTGAAACTTTGTGGAGAGGCAAGGGATAGTTTCATTTTATAGATAAACCCGGGCTGGAGTGTTTCCTCCTTTTTTCAATTTGATTGACGTTGAGGTACATGTCTGGAAATCACCCAGTTAAACAATCGGTAGACTGCGAAAACATCCGTTTCTCCTCGCTCTTCGCCGCCGGGGAGGTTTCGCGAGGAGGAATAACGTCTGCGACTCAGGGGCAGAAATTCCATACTGATGACGCAAACCGATGTTTACATAATAAATCCAGTAGTCATGGGGTTCCAAATACAAATTTGTCCGATTTTACGTGTCTTCTGGTCGATTTTTGTAAAGTGTTGTGTTCATCTGCCAATGAGCTCCAGCAAAACTCAAATGCTTCTTTTAGAGAAGACTATATTCCACAAATATTGACTATTTTGTTAGGGATTCTTCGCGTTTACATTTGACCTTTGTGGCCTTTGTCTTTTGTCTGTCATTCGTAAACAATAGCTAAAGCAAGGAAACTACTCCATCGACCAATCAGCGCTTCTGACCGGATTCCGGACAGATTTTACGTCATCCGTATGGAATTTCTGTCGCTGAGCCGCAGACGTTCCTCCGCGCGAAATGTTCCCATCGACGAAGAGCGAGGAGAAACGGATGTTTTCGCAGGCTAAACAATCGGTTGTTTAATTGTTTCTTAAACTAGGGTAAGAGCTGGGTAATTGGCTACTGCGAATGATCATTAATGTTTGAGAAAATTCAAAGCTCTAGTGTTTTGACGTAGCCGGGCTTTCATCGATGTCCGAGAGTGTTCTCCAGTTTATATGGTAGTTAAAATAACATGATACAGGTCCTGTTCACGCTTTCTCAGTATGAGTACCAGTATGTAAAGTCACATATCAACCTCGAGAAGTCTAGAGTTTTCCATGCCATCAGGTCTCAAGACACCGAAAATCGTTCCTGTTGCGCTTTAAAATGTTTCCAATATCCTCTTTAATTGCTTCTTGTCAGTAACTTTCGAATAACCAATAAATATTCAGAAAAAAGGTTTTTGCAGTGTGCGGTGCTTATTAGATCACTGAAAATCTAAGAGTAAACTAACAAAGGCCATTGTTATCCATCAAGTCTATTTCTAACCACCTGCCTAACAGTGGTCACCATTAAACTGTTCCCAGGCTTTCAAACAAGGCTTCTATGGTGACAAGTACTTGTGGCTTCTGATGGGATGGTATCGATATCGTTGGTGGGTAGTGGAAAAAATGCACTCTGCCCGTGCGTCAAAGCTTCGTTGCAAAACAGAACACGTCACTAAGGCCTTTGGAAACTTTCTTAGCACAACTATCCTGAGAATGGGACCCAGTTCCCAAGACATAATAGGAAGCGAGGTAAGAACTTACTTGAGTCGTTTATAATATTTTTCATCCTTTAGTGGATAAACCTCTAAATGAAACTTTTTTTGCTAATATGGTGGAATTTAGTCGCTGGTACTCCGTTAAAATTTCACTGCTGCCCCACCCATGGAGAGGAGGGGGTTAGTCGTGTACTTATATATGGTAAGGGACAGGTAAGGGACAGACCATTAGAAAAGTCATGGGGGGCGAAGTACCAAGAAAATATTCATACAGGGGAAAATTAATCAAAGAAGTAAGGAAAATGCTAACGCAAAAAGTCTTGGATCAATGTAGGTTTCTGAGAAACTGCCCACCTACCCTTTCCCTAAGCCAAACCTTTGCCCAAAGTGAGAAGTAAGTGTTAATGTTAGCTTAGGGGAGGGGTAGGTGGGCAGTTTCCCAGAAACCTAAATTGATCCAAAGTATTTATGCAGCTCGAAAATTCCCTGCCCCTGCCAGAACTTTTCTAATGGTCCGCCCCTTAAGTACCCAGTTTCTAAGGGGGAGTGTACAATTTTTAAAAGAAGCATTTATTGTATAACAGACAAGCACTAGTTAAGGCAGCTTCGGTCGAGTTTCACAGGACAGTGTGTAACGTTTTTATGTATTGTTTTCTTATAGTGCAGCTTAGAGCTGCATCATTCCAAATTTAATTCATTTTCTTTCTCCAGGAAGCGTACCTCTCATGGAAAGACAAATATAATGAGTTAGGACTTTACTCGGGACTTGCCCATGACGCAGTTGTTGCCATGGCTCTTGCTCTAAACAAGTCCGCCGAGACTCTTACCTCAAGAAACAAAACGCTGGAGAATTTTACGTACACAGACAAAGAAATGGCTGAGGTGTTCAGGGATTCACTTTCGAAGGTGACATTTCTGGGCTTTTCGGTAAGTGGAACAATGTTTATCCTCATTTTCAAAGCTACTGTCAGTTACCCTGAGGAGGCGAGGCTTAGTCCGCTTAGCCTTCAGCTGAGCCTTGAACCGGCCAGGGTCACGCAGTGCCAGCACTCTATACTTGATTTGTCACGTGACATGCTACGAACTATCCTTTGCGAAAGGAGTTTGGTCTGAAACTGCCATTCAATAGACCTAATCACGGTTCCAAATCAGGCAATTGCCAAGGTTTTAGAATTTTAAAACCTGGATAGTACATCCTTTTCAAGGGATTTATCTAAAATACTCTAGACATCATTACGAGTAATGATCTGTTTGCAGGGACCTGTGTTTTTTAACGAAGATGGCGATAGACAAGGGCTTGTGGAAGTCGGACAAATGCAAGGTCAGACACTAAATCAAGCTTTGTTGACAGAAATCTCTAACCAATGTAATACAGTAAAAATTCTTGAAAAAAATAAGAGCCACCCAATAAGAGGGCACCAACACCGTAAATAACATGCTCTAAAGTCTTCATCTTAACACGTCGCCACGATTTTGTCAAATGATACCACTTATTACTACAAGACGTGTGGATTGAGTCGAGGCCGCAAAAGCGAGCAGTATTTACAACCGCATGAGTATTATAGTGGGGGACGTTTAGGTTCTCCTTTCTGCGGAGGGATCTCGTTAATTTTGCGGGGGAATAAGGCAAAGTCTCAGTTCTATCTGAAGATGAGTTATTGGTTATTGTTACATTTTAGCGTTTTAAAAAGAGTTGGTGTAAACATTTATTCATCCTTAGACGGCCGAGTAAAGATTCTTGGGAACTACACGATGGAGGAAGATAAACTGGTTCTCGAATCCTCAAAGTTCGTTTGGAAAGGTAAGAATTGTTACTGTTGTTACTGTTGAAAAGAGGTAGCTAGATAAAGAATAACCTCACGCTAATGCAGCTATTGCCCCACTCCGTTTACACGCCTTGCATCGAGTCTTGGTTTGAAAGAGACTTGTTCAAGTAACTTCTTTTGTTTGATTTTAGGTGGTACGATTCCATCTGATCAAATGATGACGGTCGACAGATTGCTCAAGATTTCAGTGGGTTTGTTCAGTTTCTTCTGCGCGGTTGAGATTTTGGGAATAATTGTAGCGGTAGCATTTCTGACATTCAACATTTGCCACAGAGACCATAGGTAACACTAAAAATTTTTCCGCAATGCGAACACGTAATTTATGGATTTATCCAAGGCCAAAGGCGAAGCTCTTGTGGGATCTTTTGAAGACTCTCTGTTCGAAGTATTTTAACTATCTTCACATGAATAAGCGAACTGAATTCCTCCTGAAAAAAATGGTCGTCAGTCTGGGATCACTTGAAAACCAATAACTAGTCAGTGGAGAACTTGAGCCCGACAGTCAAGTGAAACTGATACCCTATTTTGGCAGCTGTCAATTGAACATGACACGGATGTCCAAAATCAAGTTAAAGTGTGACATTCCACATCGCTAACATGAAAGGGTTGATGCACGAACCGATGATTTTGTCCCAACCAAATTTTCTTGGATGTAAAGATGACCAAATTTTTTTACCCATTGTGCTCTGCTGTGCCCGCTTCGCGCGCGTGAGAGCTTCGCTATGAGTGATGATTTCTCCTTACTGCATGAGGGGGATGATCAAGGAAACAAGTCATGAGTTTTTAAACAATGATCACCAAAAACGTATTGCACTGATTTTCTGCATTCCTTCCAATTTACTTGAGAAGACATCAATGGAGGCCAGTTAAAAGAATTTGTGTGTTGAAATTTGGGCTTAAAGGGTTATCCACTGTACTAGTGTTTTAAGACACCTATGTATAAACGTGGCTTCGCAGGTTCATCAAAATGTCAAGTCCCCGTATGAATAACATCATTGTGGTTGGTGCAATTCTCATATACGCGGCTGGGATCCTACGCGGGATTGACGGCAACTTCGTGAGCCCTGGTGTCGAGGCAATTTTTCGCTGTAAGGTAAGTGTTGGAAACGATACTGAGGTACTCATACCAGTTAAAACCGGATATACTGGGAAAATGGAAAATGCCAGCTTTAACGTTAAATTGAGCTACATTGCAAAATCAACTTATGAACTTTAAAGCGTTAACTCTTCAGTGGCAACAATCTGTAGGTTTGACAATAAAAAAATGAAGTTTTCGGCGGATCACGAGCAGCCTGCTGGAACTGTTCAGATTCTCTAGGCAATTTAGCCACTAGGAACCCATGGCCAGTTAAGTTAAACACAGTTGGCATTTTTGACGGTTTTCTTCAGTTTATACTAGCAACAACCTTAGCTTTCAATCATTTATGAATCATTTCCCCCTAATCCCCGTTCAGTGATGACAATGATAAACGTTAACACCTCCAACACTATAGAAATTCATGAAAGCATCATCACATATTCTTTGTTCATAAAGATTTTAAGAAGGGAGTGCAAGTAAAATAATCAGTGGAGAAAACCTAAACGAATTGGCCAGGAACCAATTTCATAAAACCTAAAACCTATCGCCCGCAAGTAACTGCTAAGATCCAGCGTTGAAATAAATAGTTTGACTGAGCTGAAAGGCAGCGGTTAGCAGCTACATCCGACGTAAACATTTATGCACTGGCCCCAGGAGAACTTCTATGCCACTCCTAAATTTTCCAAAAATTTACCCATCTCTTGGGAGCACAGAGATGGCGCAGTGGTGAGAGCGCTCGCCTCCCACCAATGTGGCCCAGGTTCAAATCCTGGCTTCGACGCCATATGTGGATTGATTTTGTTGTTGTTTCTCTCCTTTGCTCCGAAAGGTTTTTCTCCACGTACTCCGGTTTTCCTCTCTCCTCAAAAACCAACATTTCCAAATTCGACCAGGAATCAGGTAGACGAAGAACCACTTCGTGGAAATGCTACCTCCAAATCATCATCATCATCATCATCATTATTATTATTAAATTCTGTCATGTCGTTCGATTGCAGTTTTCCACTTGGGTTGCCTGTTGTGGATTCACCCTGGGATTTGGTGGGATGTTCCTAAAGACTTGGAGGGTGCATAAGATCTTTCTCAATCGAACAAGGAAAATGGTAGGTTGATAGCTAATACAAGTACTTGTTTATCTGCTTCTCCGTTTCTAAGCACCACTATCGCGCGCAGAACTATATAGGATTCTGCAGGGCGTCGTTCCCAAAAACACACCGCGCACCGCAACTCCTTCAGCACTTCTTTCGCATGGCTCTTTTCCTTCAGCATTTAACGTGAGAGTCAAAGAGGTTACTGGGGAGAGGGGGCAAGGGTACAAGCCTAGGGTAATTTCTGTCCCTTATATGGGCAATCCCGAAGGCAATGAAAAGCTGATGATGGTTCTAAGTTGTGAATCCGGGTACTAAATCTCATGGTGTGAATATTAAAATGACGCCACATTTTGAGGATTTATCCACGGTGCAAGTTTTGTTTCAAAGCGAGCTTTTTAGAAACTAACATTAGGAATTTCGAATTTGGCAACGTCAAGAATCACTTTGCGCGACTTTTAAAATAACCTTGCAGTTCCTTTAACAACTACAAAGATAACAATCAAGCAACAACAAACAGCTTCAAACAAAAGGCCGAACCTTCGACCGTACAATCGAATCCACAACCCCAAAGGGGAGGGTTGGGCGCGTTAGACTGCGTTATTAAGTTTTATAGGAAGATTAACCAACCCTTTTACAATATAAAGTCTGTGATGACCGCCAAAAGATGGTGTACACTCTGACGTCATTCAGAATGGCGGCCATAAAGTCTGCCATCTTGGATTTACCTTTAAACTAAAATGATGTAAAAATAACAACCACAAAAGGAAAACATTCAAAATGCTTTGGAATTAAAACTCGTATTACAGAACTGTTAATGTAAGTTCCGTGTTGAAGGCTATTTTATTTCTAACAGGTAATAAGTGACTTCCAGTTGTTTGCCCTGCTGGCATTATTCCTTTCTATCGACCTTTTTATTATTATGGTCTGGGAGATTGTTGATCCGATGCACGCCGAGAAAAACTTTACAGGACGCAAAGTACGTAAAGTCGAGGATAGATGAATATTCTTAGAGCTATTTTTAAAGAGTTATCTCGTGGAGTTCCTGTCAACATTCCCAAATCTTGAATTCAGGATTTTGTAGTTCTAAAATCTCGAAATCAAAAATCATGAATTCAGGATAAACGTGAACACAAGATTGTAGCGTTCCAAAATCTTGAATTCAGGATTTTGGCATTCCAGAATATTGAATTTAGGACTTCGGAGTTCCAAAATCTTGGAATAGTCCAGTTTCGAATTAAAAATTAGCGCTGAATATAAACATTAACGACACATTCATGCAGGGTTAGCCTCGACGTAAAGTAATATACATAATACACAGAGTAATAAACAGGTCTTTTTCTCGTTGGAATTTGTGAATATATTACTTCAGATTGAGGCTAAGGCTGTAAAAAATGCGTCTTCACTTCTTTAATTCAGCGGTCATAGCGAACTCGAAAATGGACTATTCAGGATTTTGGCGTTAAATGATCTTTAGTTCATGATTTTGACCTTCCAACATCTTAATTCAGGATTTTGGGAATAAGGTGAGGTAATACCTCGCTCCTCTTTGGTTCCAATTCTCTTGAGGCCTTAAACGGTTTCTTGACAGCCAAAGAAACTTCCCAATAGAGAGAAGTCGTTACGTCACATTCCCATGGTAGCAAAATTTCTGGATCAAAACAAACCGAAAATTCACTTATAAAGTGAATTCGCCCTTGTTCAAACTTAATCGATCTTATTCAATTTCACTTAATCACTTAATTTGTCAAATATTGGCGAAATAACCCGAAAGGACCCGTATTTAAATTGATAAAAATAAAATTTTTGTGTTGTGTTTTAATACTTATTCCATAAAGCACGCGCGTGAAATTAGGAAGTGTCATGTCGCAGTCGTGCAACGAAAAAGCATGATGCACGTGCAATGCTGTTGTTTTGTTAATATAAACTTATTGATTTTTAACTCTTCTCGTTGCTGTCGCCGTCGTCGCTGCTTAAACTCTCTATAGTTGTGATCCAGAAAATGCGCTACCGTGGTAACGTGACGTCACACTCCTACTTCTTTTCAGGAATACAGCCCTTCAACGGACACAGAGTATGTACCATACTATATCAAGTGCAGTTCTTCGTATCCAAGCGTGTGGCTCGGCATCGTCTATGCTTACAAAGGCATCCTGCTGGTATTTGGCGCCTTTTTGGCCTGGGAAACAAAAAACGTGAAGATTCAGGCGCTGAACGATTCACGCCACATTGGTATATCTGTGTACAACGTGTTTTTTCCGTGCGCTCTTGGCATGACTGTCGTTAACGTGGTTGATAATAACCCGGGTGTTAACTACGCAGTGCTCTCAGTTCTGGTCGTGTTTTGCACCACGATGACTCTCTGTCTCGTTTTTATTCCAAAGGTAAGGGAATTGACAAGATCATGTTTAAGCAACAAATGGACCGGTTTTTAAGCAGGGATCGCAGTAATGTCAGAAATGCTTTCGTTTAGCATTTTGCTGCCACTGTGCCTAGTCAACTTTCACATACGGGAAATTGTTTAGGATTTCTGAAGGCGACTCAACCGGTCCCGAATATGTTCAAAGCTTTCCGACGAATTGTCCAAAAGTGGGAAGTTCCGGGGACATTGACCATGTGCATAAGAACTCAGACCTATCTCAAGTAGTGACTCCATAGCTCGTTACCCATAAAATTGAGAGAGCTAGCCTGGCTAAAACCAAGACTATAGTAACTGTTGGACATGCGTTGTGCTCCTTTTTGTAATTAATGGTGAGTTTACGTAACAGGACGGCAGAAAGAAGAGGGCGACAAAACGTTTGTGTGTGACAAACGTGACAGGCCTAAAAAAATTATTGTCACGCTTGTCACACAAGGTTTGCCGTCTTCTTTCCTCTCCCTTCGTGTTGCGTAAGCTCACTAATATCTAAAGACAGGAGCCCATTCCTGCTAAAGAAAAACCAGTTTTTCCCCAATGTTGTTTTCTCTGCTAGATCACAACAGTGAGGGCAGACCCGCAAGGAAAGAACAGACCTCGCTTTGTGTCGGCTCTGAACAAAACTCCAGCACAAGTACCACAGACTCAACAACAGGAGAGGCAACATTTGGGACCAGAGGCGACAAAAAAACCAGAAAGGGAAGCCCAAGCCAGATCTTCTCGGGAAGTGGGAAATTGCGCCGATTCTAGTCTACTATGAGGCTCGTTTTGCGCTAAATCATTACAACTGTGGATAAGTACAAGATTCTGCAAAACTCTCCACCTAACTACCCCTCCCCTAACTAAACATTTTGTCCTAAGTGAGAAGTTAGTGCCAACGATGATTTAGGGGAAGGGAGGTTAGGTAGGGAAATTTCCATGAATCTTAGACAAGTCCACATGTCACCCTGCAGACTGGCTATATCGCGAGCCACCATTTGCAACTGGCGATTTCTGTTTCCGGATCCTGCAGACTGAAGTTGTAAAAGTTGTTCCTGTATCGGCAAGGCAGAGCTCTGTAGCTCTGCCATTGATTTTTTGTATGTATAATTCTGATAATATTTTGTTGTAATAATTTATTGAGGAGGCCCATTCCTTGTAAGCCCAGTGGCTTCCCCTGGGCTTCTTCGCCATTAGCTTTTAATTGTTTAGATTTTCTTGTTTTTTGCACATCCTCATGGCAAGACAATAAACTGAAACTTAACGAAGAAGACACTGGAAAATGCAGAAATAAATTTAGTTACTAGCCGCGAACACTTGTGGCTTACATTGCAAAAACGATAAATTGCAGAGAATTAAGAAAAGGAAATAAATTTTAAAAATCACTTTTTTGTATGATTGTAATTTTTGTTCTGTCCATTACTGTACCAAGGAACAGTATGCAGTCTACAGCCATAAAACGGCTGAGGGGCTTCAGTACGTTTTTGAGGTCGGCAGGTTTCGATTGAGACGTTAAAAAATCCGGAGAGAAAAGCTCATTTTAAGTCAAAAACTGAATATCTGGTCTAAAATTGATTCGATTTGTCCATACATCACTGTTTAAATGGACGGAATAGCTATACGGAATATCTTGGAGGTAAATTCATCGTAAATTCACGATGAACAACACACAGGCGGTTTTTTTCTGTCGGCTACGCGTTATAACAAGCCAGTTGTAATTACAAATTCAGCAACTGCTTGTGCGTTCGATTCTGTGGTTAGACCAATGCATTTTTCTACCAGACAGAGGAAATTCTCTCGATTTCCCTCATCGGCACTTTATCAGAACACTGAATTTTCAGTGTTCTCCAAATGTTTTCACTGTTTTTTTAAATGGCAATGAAATTTAAAAGAGCCTTAATTTATGCCTTTTTCCCTTTCTTTTTCCCCTTATTTTCCAGCGCGTTAGGATCTTTCCCTTCGGCGATGGCCAACTTTTTCTTGAGCTCCAAAAGAATGGCAACTTCAGCATCCACTGTGGCTTTTTCAGCCTTGTCAGCCTTCAATTTTCTCACCTTGTCGCCCTTAAAATAAAGGAATGTTACGGTATAAACTTTCTTGGCGAGATTCTAAATAACAACAGCAGTTTGAACCGCTGTATACGGTTGTCGCTTACACGATAAACGTCATCTTAACAACCCAATGTGACTCCACTCAACACGAAATAGAAAGACGTTCGTCAAGGCAAATTTGTCTTTACCGGTCAATTCTCGTCTAGAGAAAAGAGAAGGAAATTGAGCCGAGTTAACTTTCCCAAAGACTTCTGGAACTGTTACTGAGGAATAAAATTGGCCAATAGAGAGGTTAAGCATCACGTTAAAGTGAAACGGAAAAAGCGAATTTGTGCCACTCAGACCAAGTTTCCTACTTTTCTTGTCGTTTACTGTTCATAACTTCTACACCTAAATTAGTAGTTTCACACAATTTTTTATCCATAAGAATTGTTTTGAGCTGTTTTTATCTGCTCATTTTCTATTTTGAGGAATTCTCAACTTGAATCTGCCGTTTGCCGTTTGCCGTAAGCGTAATGCTTAAACTATCTAATAGCTTTCCGGCGCGTCGAGTAACGATACCACAAACTATTGCGAGACAAATTTTGGTTCCAGTTCCCTTCTCGATTCTCACTGTTGGCCATGCACAACACAAAAACTTTGCTAAAAAATTATGATAAAATCCTCAGCACGTGACCACCCCGATAGCGCGAGCATGCGCAGCCACTTGTACGCCATACGTTGCGCAAAGTTTCCTCAGTAAAAATACTACGAACATTATCTTTTATAACCGACCACAATATTAGCACTTGAGAAAATGATGCGTCCTTTCCAAAGGACCTTGATCCTGGTTTAAACTTAGCGCTTGCCTAGGCGTTCGTATTTACTTGATATGAGTCTCTCATACTTGTGCTTGCGTTTTACTTGTGTCAGGAGTAGTGAAATCTCGGCAAGAAAAAAAATTGGTACTACTCTAGACATAGAAAAACGTAACGTTCCTTACCTGTTTAGCGACCTCTGTTTGTAACGAAGCATTTATTTTGCCCGCGTTACTTCCGTCAGAAGTGTTGGTGTTTTTTGATTTGTCACTCGCAGCCTGTTGCTTTTGTTTATTTCCGCCATACTTTGCACGGAACTGTTCGGCCATCGAGGGGTCAATCTTTTGGAACAGCGGCTGCGGCTAAAAATAAATATTTACATGATACACAGGGTTCACTCACAAGCGACTCGTGCAAATGAAGAGAAATTAGCAATCGGCTGCAAGGCGATAAATTACCTTGTTCACGAAAATGTGCAAGCTTAATATGGGTACAGTTTTTGGCCGCTAACATGGTAGTAAAAAAACAAAGATGGCGACGAAAGAACAACCATTTTTTTTTTTTTTTTTTTTGGGGATAAATATCGGACCATTTTCTTTGCCATAGAATTTCACGCAAGCTACTTGCCTCATTTTCACGTTCAATCCACGTGACATCACACACGTTCTCCGATGATACCCGCACACACAAATAGGAATCTCGACCACAATTTGTTTTTCCCTGATTACTACTAATACTCAACTCAAGGTTGCTATTACGCATGCGTGGCATGTATGTAGCCAGCATTTGGACGTCCACTACGAGTGAATGGACCGCATAGAACGCAATTTGATCACGTGCGTTTGGAACTTGTATCACTAGTAACTGATCACGCGGGTTTTGACCTTCTATCACGTGAAACTTAGTTAAGGTAGTAAAAAAAGCACCACCGTGGTAAAGAACGAAAGCAATACCATGGCAGCAAATACACTACCCAGGTAACGAGAGAATTATTATGACAACGAAATGTCATGGAAACGACGGTAATACCATGGCAACGAAGGCTTAACATCACAATGGTTACAAAGGAAGCTAAATAGAACGCAAAGCCTAAAAAAACCTTCAACAACACTACCTGAATTTGCTGAGAGGTTATGGACACACACAAAAGAAATGCTGAGTTGACGAAGTAATATTTCCTCGTTCTTACCTTTCCAATTTTGTGACCAGGTTGAAGGTAAGGAATAAAGTTATCCAGCACCACGTTTCCTTCGTCCGTGACCTGAAAATGTTTGTCACCGTTTTAAAACTTTGGTTTACCACCGTAAATAGAGTTCATTTGAATCAGAGTTCAGCAGCAATTATGAAATTGATGCCATTTAGTAAACCTAGCTCTAATGTTTAAGATTACGGCTGCTGGCTTGATTCAAATTTAAATGTCAACACTTTTTTTCGAACGTACATAAAGCTTACTTTTTCCATATATTGAAAACTTAAGAAGTATCAGGAGGTATTTGTCAAGAGACTGTCTGCCGATTTAATTGCGCGCGTTAATCACTAGTAGGTCAGACTACTGCAATAGTTTGTTATAGGGTCTTCCTTCAAAAGCAAAAACTGAGTCCTGACATTGCAACGTGTACAGAATGCAGTAGCCATATCACAAAGCTCTTCATTTATTTGCTGTAGTTTAAACAGACTTATTCTTGTTTCTGTTCTTATTCAAGAGTAATTATCGAGAGTATGCAGGTTGAATAAAGAGATCTGTTAAGCAATAGAAACCAACAAAACCAAATATCAACGCCTGAACTAACACTGACTAAACGAACCTGAAGTTGGCGTTGAATTTCTTCACAGATTCCAGGCATGTAGGGATGAATGAGGACCGAAAGTAACCAGGCCAGGTTTGTAGCCACACCAAGGACTGTGCCTGCACGCGATCTACAAAAGTCACATTATCTTACTTATTGACTGATAGGTCCTTAAACGTGAGATCATCATCATCATCATCGTAGCTATCAGTTGCGATATCTTCATAATCACGACCGCGGAAGTTGCGCGCGTGGAGCCCACGACTTGACCTTAACAACTCGTCTATATATTTAAATTAGTAGTCCCGTCACCGCACATCCACAACACAAGTTAATCAACGTAAAATGGTATTTACAAGATAACCCTCAGCTGTATTCCGTGTTTTGGTAGAAAAAGGCATCACCAACCATGCTTTTGATAACGTGAATAGCAAAGTAAAGAAAGCAAAAAACGAAGCCACACAAATAGGCAAGCAAACAGGTTTGTTCAAATCTGCCGCCACAAAGAATCGGCCCTGGTGCTTTCCCGCTGAACAAAACATATGTAGGGTTACGTATATAATCGAGTTATCTGTATTCATTGCCGTCATACCTGTCAGAGTCGCTTCCTTTGACTAGAACCCAGGGTTTGTTAGACTGAATGAACTGGTTACCAAGCTTGGACATGTTTAAAACAACTTTCAACCCTTCTCTAAGCCTGAAATAGAAACATAAGCATCTAAGGACTGGCCACTAGGGAGACAGTGAGTTTCGGCCATGAAAAGGGGAGAATTACCAACCTCGTTCCCAGGGTTCTTTCCTACCCGTCCCTGGGAGGTAGAGACGGGTAGGAGAGAACCCTGGGAACGAGGTTGGGAAATCACTTGCTCAATCCAACTGGTTCTTAAGATTTCCCGCGGTTTGAAGGTACACGACCTGATCACGTGCGAGACTAAATTTCTCAAGGGACAGTTTTGACCTATAGCACGTGACAAGTTCTTCGTCGAATCTGAAAACGCGTCTGAGATTGGGGTCTAACAATAGATCGTTTTCCCTCACGTGCTCAATGGCTATGCAATTTTTCAAACCAAAAAAAACCGTTTTGAATGATAGAAGAGTTCAATCCTCATGTTCAATCCACATGATTTTTTTGGTACACCGACATAGCCCCCCTTTCATTGTTTTGTACAATATGGCCGACGTGACGTCATGTGAAAACGCTCTACACGTGCTGGCATTTATTCAATTATTTTTTTCTTTCCTTTGCTTTTAAAAATATTACAATCTTGTGCACCTTTCTAAAGCAAAAACAAAGAAGACCTACCTCATTTTCTCATTATCATCTATGTAGGACTTGAGTTCTTTGTTGATGAGTGCTATGAAATTCTTGTCGTCTTCAGTAAGGTCCATTTTTGGTACAACACCTCCAAAGTTATTAGACACAAACATCAACGCCCTGAAAACGGTCATTTTATTTAAAAAAATATATATATAAACAAACAAAAAATTATCGCTGCTATGCAATCATTTAGATTTAGGGCTGGACAGTTTGTTGTCAAATGTGCGGGTAGGCTCGATTACCAAGCGCTGCTCGGGAAATGAGTCCGACACATCCCCCTCCCCTCCCCCCGAGAGATTCTTCTCGGGGAGGACCAAGACTGGGCCTGAGAAAGCGGCATAAATCGAGCCTCGTTTGAGAGAGGGATAATGGGACTGCGAAGTAGTTAGATGACGCAGTGAGATGTCTTCATAAATCTGGTATGATTGGTAGGTTTTAAGGTCTAATGGCCATTCTGAGGCTGAGTGAGACTGGGTCAGAGTTGTGTCGAACTGCACTATGGGGCTTCTTTGGAGAGGCTATCACTTCTTTTATTGGCTTATACGAGGTTGCGCAAGGGACTGGGTCAAAAGGAAGGTAACAGATAAGAGAGGTTGATAGGTAGCTAGATACGGCAACAGAATGTCTTCATAAATCTCGTAGAGTTGTCTTTGGTCGGAAGGAGGTTAGACGTGTGGGGAAGAGGATCATGGCGGAAAATGACTATAATTGGTCTCGCGAAATACACTTACAGGCAATGAAAGGTTCTAGATGTATCATACGGCGCGTTGATCTTGTAAGATGTTTGATAACGTCTAACGTTTATAACAGTGGGTACAATGAGCTAAAGATACGATAACCAAATCAGTTTAAAAAGCCTTACCTGTTGACGAAGTTTCCAAAATTGTTGAGTAGTTCATTGTTGTTCTCGCGACGAAATCATTCCAGCTAAAGGCACTATCCTGTAGGAAAAATCAAAATAAGTCAAGTAAGACACCACTTAAGCCAGAAAATGGAGAAAATGGTGCACTGTACATCATAAGACATCAAAATCACTGAGCAACCTCTTATTGGTATCTACTTCACATAACAAGCAAGCATGACTAGGGAGTTTGATTAGTGCAACCGTGAGGTGAAGATGGCTGAATACTGGCCAAGTTCGTTTTGCGTTTTTGATCTAACACTAACTCCAACCCATAAAAACACAAAAACAAAAAACAAACAAAAAAAAAAAAACAAGCAAACGAGCCGAATATCCAGCTATCTTGACTAAGCATACGATTTATCACTCATTCAAATTATTTCGCCGTTTCTGATTGGCTTTTAATCTATTTCCTCTTAGCAGAGGTATCCATATAATGATAAAGGCTGTCACAAGAGACCACGGACTAACCTGGTTCTCAGGTCGCATGTAGAGAAGGTAAAATCTCCAGATGTCTGCTGGGATACCGGTATCTGCGGCATCATTGCCAAAAACTCCAACCCCACGACTCTTGGAAAATTTGTCATCTTCATAATTAAGGTATTCTGAAGAATGAAATGAAATGAAATGAAAATTCGTAATTTAAATCAGCAAGATTACTTGCCATTTACGGGAACGTTGAGATTGTTAACAAGAGTGAATCTTTGTTCTTCAAACAAACAAAAAGGTTTTTGTTCTCTTCGTTGATTTAATTCGACTACTGAGTCGACTAATCTAGCTGTTTTTCGATGTTGTGAGGCCGATCTTGATTTACTGGCCGGTAGATGAACGAATGCGTTACATTGAACTTTCTTTCTTTTTATGTAGCTAACAAGTTGACACTATCAATAACCAGCTTACAAGTTGGCACTCACTATAATAAGTTGACACTAACAGTAAGTAGCTTACAAGTTCTTACCTGTTGCACTAATCGAGTTAAGAAGCGTGTAATTATCGTCGGCACCGATCTCAGTGCACGGAAATACGACAGTGTGGAAAGGCACGTTATCTTTCGCCATAAATTGATGCAGAGTAACCTGGGGAAAGAATATAAAATATACGATTTACGATTGACAAACTCTGTCATAATCCTTTCGTTCCACAAATCACATACTTCAAAATTCATGAAAAATTCACAGTTTTATTTTGGCAGCTACTAACAAACAAATAATACCAAGCTTAAGTGCTGCCGAAGAGAAGAGGTTTTATTTGAATGGTCACAGCATAGGGTTTCGCGGCTGACAGGATCAAAATAGTACCATGTGATAGTAATGCTGTAGCGGTTTCTTTCGAATGGTCACACTGCCAAGAATTACAAAGTTAGAGAGTCATTTACGCGTCCCATTTAGCTAGAACTATTTCACAACAACACGTGCTATCATTGGCTACATAAAGGTCACATGACATCTCATTAAGTCTCTCAGCGAAGAGTATATTAAAAATCCGTAATGTCAGAGGATAACAATACAATTTCCGCTACTTTGTTTCCATGTTGGATCAGTTGTTTTAATGTTCTGCAATTGGCATAGAGGGGTGATGTGACGACCACCATCTAATGGAGTCCTCCTTCTTTGCTATGCTACTCACTTGTTGAGGATTTTTCCACCATTTTTCCCACTCTTTTGTGTAATTAGCAGTGATAGAGAAGTACCTAAAATAACAACAAAACTCTTCAAACTTTATTCTACTCCTGGCTTTCTGAACACTCGCTTCATGGTAGAGCTTGGGTCACGCTTTTATCGATATCAGTAATCGAAAAAACATCGCAAACTTAAGGGAGAGATAGTCGCGTCACAAAAATACGTTGGACACATTGACAACATTCCCTCGGCATTCCGATGGTTTGTGTTTCTATGGAAACTGTAAGCACAAAAAGAGCGCCAGTGTTTTTCGCTTGAGGGTTTTACAGGGATAAAATTAATCCAAAAAAATTGAGTAATGGTTTGTCCCCACTCCCAATCTCTCTTGTTCGAGGTAATTTTATGAATTCGCGAGTGTCCACTAAAAAATTGTAGTATACAAGTTGACGGCGGCATCGAACGGAAATGAAAGAAATCTTTTAACAATAGTACAAAAGAATAACGAAAAAAATGGAAATGTAAAATTTCAAATCATAGTAACTGTTAGACTTTAAATTTGATCTTGTTGAATAATCGTGCTTAAACCAAAGTCAGTCAAACTTTATTATCAGGTAATCTGCAGTTTGCGGTTCCACTTAATTTTTTTGAACCTTTTGGCGTCATTTCTATGGCGGTATGCTGTCATGTAGAGCATGGAAAATTGTCATCTAATAGACCTAGTTCACGATGTCCGCCATCTTTGCACGCACTTTAGGACTGACGGGATATAAGCAATGTCACGTGGTACCTCAGGCGGCAAACAAGTGATAAAATTTGCCAATATAAGTAATCGCGGTCGCGTTTGTTTATTTTCTCAAAACAAGACGACGATTTTAACTTGCAAAATGCAAAGTTCGAGTTTCGACAAGTTTTAAGTCATAAACGTAGTGCTTGCTGTGAGGCCATCTACAGTTGCTGCCACAAAACCAAAAAGTAAAAATATATATGATCAGTTCCTGCAAGTTCCACCTAAAAATTTGCTAGTATGGTCTTTAAGATAAAAGTTCTTCATTTTCCTGTTGCCTAGAATAAACAAAACCGACCGCAATTTCTTGTCTCAGAGGATTCATTGTTGGCCCCTGGGAAATCACGTGACACTGCTTGTTTATCCCGTCAGTCCTTGAGCAGGAGAAAATATGGCGAGTATTGCGAATGAGGTCTGTCGTTAAATATCTTTTACCACCTCTTACCCTATAGGTGCGTCGAACCACACGTAAAATACTTTTGTCCGTGTCCCTCCAAAGGAACTGGGGTGCCCCATTTCAAGTCACGTGTTATACAGCGAGGTCTGAGGCCGTCTTGGATCCACCCGCGGGTAATATGGCGCGCGTTCGATGTCCACGTTCTGGGGAAAATTCTGTTCTTAGGATACGAGTACACATATTCACTCATCCCATTGAGTCTAAAACAATGCGTTTAACTCTGCTGCGACTGTGACTACATTTAGTCCTTGTAAGATAACCTTCACTAGTCTTAAACTATTAGTTTTTCTAGTTTCACGTTACCTTCACTAGATGATTCTTCGACCCAACTTTTTAGCGACGGCTCAAGCTATAAAAAATGAAGAAGAATCCACAGAGTAAGAATTCTAATTCACTTCGAGTTGGGATGATAACCTTGAAATAATCTAATTGTGCGAAAACCAAAAGAGACAGTGAATAAGTTTCTTTTTATCGTTTCCTTGAGCCTGCAGAATCGGATCGATTACAACCTTTTTTTAAACGGACCAAAATCATCTTTCTCAACTAACACAATAGTGTCAAGGAAACGAACTCGAGCTTTACTTGCACACAAACCGATTTAAACAAGCAAAACAAAAAAAAAAATTTCAAGACTTTTTCAAGAATTCAAGACTCTGTACGAACCCTGTTCATTTGGCAGTCACCAAATACTAGAGTTGAACTTACTTATGGTGAAAGCAACTTATATTAACAGAAGTAGTTTGCAATGTACCTTGGCCAAGTTTAAAAATAAGTGCTTGCTGGATCTCACTTTTGGCGCTCCCCCACAGACTTTACAGCGAGGTTTCTGGAAAGGAATTTTGTTTGATATAAAATCAATCGGCAATCTTAAAATGCAAAATAGCGCAACGTTACCAACGAAGAAAGCAATCTTTACCTTAAGTTCAATGGCGTTAATAAGCTTTCCACAAGAATCACACTGGTCTCCTGGCGTCCTGACGAAGAAAAAAGAGGATTACATAACTACTACATCGGAAATTCAAAGCTTGGTTTTTGCATAGAATTGCAAGACTGTGTGAAAAAAGACCATTTGCTGTTACACTTGCAAAAGCCGCTATCTCAAACGTCTCTTATTTGAATAGGCTGCAGCTGTGCAAGAATTAATAGGGAGCTTCAGCATCGATGACGGCGACGCCAGCGAAAACATCACTTTCAACAAGAATTCGCGTTTTTTTCCAAACATTTTCAGTTTATGTCAGTTAGCTGAAAAATGTCAAATGTTGGTGATTTTTTTGGAGTAGATTTCTCGGGGACCGTACTCAAGTTTAGAAAGAGAAAGAAATATTTGTCGTCGCTTGTTTACGTTCTCC